TGACGTGTTATAGCCTACGTAAAATCCTACGTATTTTAAGTACCGATAGACTCCTTCGACCGTTTTGCAATATCGGTTGCAAAAATTTGGTACCAGTAACGTACAAAACGTTACATTAATTCAACACAAGGAAATACGCTGTTTCGTAACGTCCCTGCCGGTCAGTACCGTACGTACGTACGACTAGTCATATTCTTGACAATTTTCCAGTTTTACGCTTGGCTTGTTCTACCTCTTGCGAACTCGTGATAGAAATATACATTTCTGTATATATTTTAGTCGAATCAACATAACGGTTTTTTGAGATTTTTGACGCCAACCGTCCAATCGCCAAGCGAGACTCATTGTCTCAGAGCGTATCACGATCACGGATTTATCGGCTCCTTGTGTGTCAATAAATCACCGAATGCGACATCATACTTTTCTCGCAGACGCATGGCGTTTTTTTGAGCCAAGAGAACAGAAATGTCAAATGAAACAAAATGCGTTGAATACATAACAGAAAGCAAAGGAATTGACAAAAATAAATACAACTCTTGCGGTGAACTCATCAATCGGATAGAAGCAAACGACCATTCTACCATGAGAGAGATCTCGTCCTCTTTCTCCGTTGTACTGCTGTCACCTTCTACGACGTCGCGAGATCCCGACGGCATCAATCTGCCCGAAGATTATGGAACGCAGTTGGAACCATCTGGTACCATTTCTGACGAAATCAATGATTTGAAGGGAACGAGCCCTTTAGGAACCAATGATGGTCAAATGATGTTCGATATGAAGAAAATTATTGGTCTGCCCCCTCCACCACCAAAATCCAAGCCTCCTAAGAAGGAAAAAGTCCGTAGAAGCATCAATAATAAACCACCTAATTCACCGAGTTTGACAGTTGGATCGAGTACCAAGCAAAAGGAATCAACCGCTGTTCAAAAAACTCGCGATGCAAATTTTACGATCTCAAAACCTGCGGCCCGATTCACATCATCCTCACTCAGAGCTCAGAATATTGTAGAGGAGAGACACCAATTTAACGATGTCATTGTGCCAGATGAATCAAATCCAGGCGAGAAAGATCTCAAAATGGAATCATTAGGTGAGATGACTGTGACAAAACCACGTATCGAGTCCTTAGAGGGAAAGAAAAGTGATGCAAAACAACAGAAACGAGCGAAGAAACGTGGCTTCTTTAAGAAAATGTTCGGTGGGAGTAAAAGCCCCGAAAATACTCAGTCTGGGAAAGATAAAATTATTCCCTCAGTGGAATCAGTAGCTGTTGATCAACCAAAGCCAACGACTAATGATCCTCTGCCAACAACCTTGCGGAAGATAAACGAAGCAACGTCGTCCGTGCCATCATCTAGATCATCTTTAGAAGTCACCAAGGAAAGAAATCTGCTCAAGAACAATTTTTCCTTCGATGCTGATGACGTGAAATCTTTGAAAATGGAGGAGTCTGTCAGTGCTATCTCCGAAGAATCACGAAGAAAATTTCAAGAATTTTCGCTAGATCCTCCAGATGATGATAATGGCGATCCGCCAGAATTTTCTGGTCGACCTCTTGGCTCGCCCATGTATATGGATACAACAATTAATGACGAAGAGGAGCAGATGCGACTTGACACTGTTCGATCGCGTATCGCTGAGGTATACGGTGATCACGAGCAGCAGTTAACTATTGAATCTGCAGATGCTGATCTCGCGAAGTCATTGGAAGAAGAATGTCTTCGAGTTGAAACAAGTGAAAGCCGCTGTATGGACCCTGCTGGTGCATCCCCTATTGAACAGTACACACGGGGAAAACATGTTGTGGGATTGGACTCTGGTGATCCGCAAGGAGATACACCAAAAGCGAGACAAAACTCGAGAATCTTGTCTAACGACCCTGCCGGTGTATCACTGTGTCATGGATCGACGACACCGAAGTATTCACTCAAGCCTGAGATTCTCAGTCCTAATGTCTCCATCTCTGATAGCATCTCGGAATCAAATTTTGAAGGGAAGGCGATTGACGAAGAAGCTCAGCAGTCGATAATTGCTTCAGAGGATCATTTGAAGAATCAGGAACCAAATCATCCCATGACAGAAATAGTGGAGGGTCCAGTAGATTCGGATACCATATTATTCCAGAAAGACACAGATTTTACAGGGAAGGCAGAGATCGATTCTTTGGTGCCGGGAAAGGAAAAGCAATCTATGATCACTCCCCCAGACCGGTCAAACCCCGATGGACATCCTCGATCGTCAAAAATGCAATCACTCTCTAGTGTGGTGTTGAAGAAAAATGACGAAAATAAAGAAAATCTAATTGCAATTGAAAAGTCTGGATTCAAATCGGTTACCAACATTGCAGCAGATTTGACTGTATCAGCTGCAGCTTTTACCAATGCCAAAGCAATTGCATACATCCACCAATTACAAGGAGAGCCATCGCCCAGACATACGTACCACGCCAATCATTCAATCGCGCCACCACTTTTGGAGAATCCGGCTGCTCTTGCAAAAATAAGGGCATTTTGCGCCAAAAAGAAGAAAGGAATTCGCGCTGAAAAGCAGGCAACAAGCAAATGTCCATCACCCAATGAGTATAGTGCTGCGAACGCCAAGATCCAAGAAGAATTGAAAGGACCTCAGAAGAGAAATTACGTGACCCACGATCCAAAGAAAAAATTTGCACCGTACTCGAGGTTCCAAGGTCGGCGTCCACGAAGGAAAAAAAATGAAAATGACCTCGAATTTTCCACTGATGATTCGCTACAGCAACTATCTCCCAAGCCCAACGACACTCAATTCCACATTGACCTCTCCATTGTTGTTCCAGGAAACAACATAGCTACAATGGCCGTATCAAGAGGTCTCGAACTAAGAAAAAAGAGTCCCGAAAGATCTGGTGAAGACAAAAGTTCAAAGATGATGGTTGAAAGGTCTCGGTTCAACTTCTTCCCTGCGCATGAATCCGAGATCAAAAACCCAATTCAACGAGCTGGACGAAGATTGCTCTCGAAGTCTGCTGTTCCAATTCAAGCCAAATTTAGAATGTACCTCTGCAGGAGAGAAGCATTGGCCAGAATGTGGGGAATTATTCGGATCCAGTCTTACTTTCGTCGCTGGAAGTGCGAGGGCAATCTCCGTGCTCATAAAAACGCTGTGTTGCTCGTGCAAAAGATTATCCGTGGACACAAACATCGCGAACAAATGAAGGTTAAGGCCGCATGTGCGACTTCAATACAAAAAATTGTACGCGGATATTTGGCTGCTCTTCAGGCATACGAGACGATTTATTTCGTTACCCGCGCACAAGCTGTGGCCAGGGGATACCTTACAAGGACTTTCGTCGCTCGTCGAAACAAGGCCGTGTTGACTCTCCAAGCGTTTTTTTTAAATGCACTCAAAAAGAAGAACCAAGTCGCAATCCGAATTCAAAGGTTTTATCGTGAATATATCTTACGAAAAAACGAAAGAAGAATTCAAAGAGCACGTACAATCATTATTGTCCAAAGTGTAGCGAGACGCTGGGCAGCCTGCAGAAATGCAGGCTTGATTAGAAAGTCAGTGTATACCCATGCCATCACAAAATATCAAGCTCTCTGGAGAGGTTATGCCGACCGAGATCGACGCCAGAAATCTCTTGCTGCCGAAAAGCTCCAAAGCTTATGGAAAAAACACATTGCCAAGAACCAAATCAAAAAGAACATGGCTGCAACAAAAATCCAGGCCTCTTGGCGAGGATTTCAATCTTATTCCGATTTTGTGTTTGCCATTGTTGATATCCTTGTTGTACAGAGAACGGCCCGTCAATGGCTAGCAAGTCGAAAGACAAATAAACTACGGGAAGAAAGAGCAGCGACAGTCCTTCAGAGTGCATGGAGAAGAAAAAAGGCTCAGTTTAATCTTCTCTACTCTTTGGTAAGCGTCATCATTGTTCAGAGTGTTGCGCGACGTTTCTTGACGAAGAACGAACTGATTGAACGACGAAAAGTGCGTGACAAAAGCGCGTTGATCCAACGCAATAAAGAAGTTGCTGCAACCACTATTCAAAAAAGTTGGCGTGGATTTTGGGGCTTTTCCCATTTTATTATTGTCAAGTATGACGTTACTCGTATCCAGGCATTAGTGCGCGGAAAACTTGCCAGAGATGAGTTCAACTTCAGAGTTGGTTGCGCAATACTTATTCAGGCAGTAGGAAGACGCTTTCTCGCACAAAAGATTTTAGCGGCGAGAACAACCGCAAGGTCAGCAGCAGATGCTGTGGGCAGTGTTATTCTTGCTTCAAGAGCTTTTGAATTGCGTGAACGAAATTCCGCGAAGCAAATTCAATTCTGGTGGAGAATCGTAATGGATTATATGAAGGAAAAGAAAGCTGCTCTTGTTATCGAGAGATTCTTCATTTTTGTCAAATCCGAAGTTGAACGTGAAATTCAAGCAATGGAGCAGGAAAGAATTTGGAGAGAAAAGGCTAGGAAGAAGCAAAAGTCATTGAAAGGCGACTTTGTTGACAAAAAACGGTCGAATGCAGCCGATACAAATAGACCTGAAGTTGTTAATAAGAATGGGCGCAGCAAAAGTGCGCAGAGATCTCGGCAACCGAAGAAGAAGTTAGCACCCAATCATTCCAGCTACGAATCATTTCAAGATATTCGAGACAATGGTTTTGTAGATACTTCACGTGATATGGATCCTATGCCAGACTTTTTGCAGCTAGCTCCAAGTGCCGACTATACAATGATATCGAATCTCACGAATCCAACTATTTTGGATCAATACGTTGAAGAACTAAAGACCCCACGAACTCCGAAGTATGAAGAAAAATACAAGGAAGTCAAAGCAAGACCCAAGAACAAGATGAGTACTGATGATTACATCAAAAAATACAGTGGGGGTCTCCAAACTGCGGCCAACAACAAATCGAAATCTCAATCACAGCATTTCTTCTGTGGTGCTGGGAACTTCAACGATAGGAGGGGCGAGAGACAATCATACGATCGAACATTGGCAATCAACGCGAAGACCCGTAGTAAGATTAGCGCATCTCGCAACGGGCGCGCTCAGATTGGAAAACCAGTATCACTTTCAACAGTTGGTCTGGATAGCCTTGATCGACGTGGGGTGATGGTGCCATCCACTCCTAGAAGCAGGAGCGGATCAACAACTCCAAGAGGTGTTCTTCGAACTTGCAAGGATGGCGTTCCTTCTCAATTTCGCCCTCCTGTTACGCCAACGATGAAAAAGTCGGCCGCAATAATCCGAGCAGGAACTGCTGATACTGAATGTTCAACATTTGACAACGAAAAGATGTCAATTCCTTCTAGGCCATCGCCGCCTACAAGACACTATAGTACCCACAGTTGTGGTGGGAAGGGTGTTATGATAATGAAAACCAATCCAAACTTTATGGAAGACAATAAAATTCAAGAGGCGCATGAAGTGATGCTTCTTGGAGACGAATACGGTGAAGTGTAACTGAATTTATGTTAACTGTCTCTTCGTTAGGACGACACGCGTCCCACGTATGCCTTGAAAAATAGATTACTACAGTATATGTCTCTGAAATCTCTTGCTTTTTAGGAATCTGTGGTAAAATTTCATGTTTAAACATATTTCGCACGAAATTCGATTAGGGGGATATGCACAAAGGTGCTGTAGTTGAGCCGTTGTTTTGTTTTTAACTGCTCTTAGCCTGAGTTATTGTAGCCTTGCCTTTCCTTTTTCCATAATTGATCTTGGACTACTGCCACAGGACATTCTGGGCCTTTGTTATGGTGGTACGGTACCGAATGGTTGTATCTAAGTGGTCTGATATTATATGGATCTAAGTGCAACGGACGTACGTACCGATGAATCG